CACCCATAAAAAAATTTTCTACGCCGACAAAATTTCTTGGGCAGAAGAAAACATAGATTTTCGATCAATGTGAGTGCAACTTTCTTTTTTTCCTTTCTCGGATTCAACTTCATCAAATATACCAGCTCCCTCCAAATAAACAATTTGTTCTAAACTTTCTGAAAACTCATAATTTTTATTTGTCAAATCTTGCCTGCAGCGCCGAAAACAAGAATAAAAAAATAGTTTTATTCTAAGCTAATGTTTTTATAATTTCAGAAGATCGTTTATAGCGGCGTCACCTTCGCTCTTTCATCAACATTGCTTACTGGACAAAATGATGCCTTTTCGTTGAGTCTCAATGCTCGATGTATGCTTATACCTCCTAGATCCAGTGGTCGACGCTTCATATCGTATTGCACATCTAATCTCAAAAATTCAGATTCTGGGCCTTACATTTACAACATCATTATGGAATTTATGACTCGCTTTCGCACACCTGTTGGATTTCTTCTTCGTGAAGTTTGTAGTTCATATTTATGACAAAAAAGTTGGTGCCGAATTGGGAGAAGGGAGAGGGAAATCGAATTAAGACTGAATTTCATGGATGACAGGCTGCTGCGTTTTGCTCTCCACATACAAAAACCTTCCTACTTGTCCGCAATTCCTTTAATAAAGCGTGAATGCGCTTTATTTTAATCTCAATTTCAACCCAAATGTTCTGCTTACTTTTTAATTTTTCTCGGTGGTGTACAATGCGTTGAGCAGAATTTTTCAGGTATTAGCGTCATCGAAAACCTACGACGATGCTTTGAATCATCTATCAAACACTCCTTTATTCTCACCTTCATACATTATTATTGGTGGGCGGAAGGCTGGGGAAGGTGCTATTATTTCAAGGTTCGGGATATATAGTAGCTGTTCACCTTCCTTGCATATAATAATTGAAGCAGGTGTTGTTTTAACGGTAGTTAATTTGATTTAATTTCCAGAGATCGCATGAAAGCTGCAGATATAATGACTTTGAGTGAGGATCAATGGTTTTTGGTTGAAACAAATTTCGATCATTGG